TGCTTTTCTTAAATGCATTTTTAATAAACTGTATAGTTTAGACACACAGGATGAAGATGAAAACTGAAAATGAATGTAAACTTAAAACAAGAGAAAAAATATAAAAAATAATAACAAAAAATAGAGTATCAATAATAGACTGTTTCTGTGATGCATTATTATAATCATATTTTCCACCATTGTCTATTATTAATACTTTCAAGTGATAAATATTTCTAAATCTTTTCCAAAATATTTTTACATCATAAGCAAGTATTATAGTTTTTTGTTCCATTTACTTAAATATCGCAATTTGCAGATAGTACGTACGTGATTTTGAGGTCACTGGTCGTGGTCATTTTCATGAAACGTAAACAAAGATAAGAAAATATAAGCCAAACTTATCAAACGGGTGATAACCGGTTTTCTGTCGGAACAGATCTTTGTATAAAAATTAATTTTTTATTAAATAATATATGAATATGTTATAATTTGGACCAATATGCTACATCCTTGTGACGTAACTGTTTTTTGAGCTTAGGTCCATGTTTGTTTTGAATGAAGTGATTATAAAAAGTTTATGTAGTTACTTTTATATCTACATATTTCATATTATTTATTAATTTCTTTTTATTTTTTATAAACAATAAGAAAAAATATAGCGAAAAATCACATATTTACAGATAAGTTCAAGACTTTATTTAGAGTAATTCACAACAGAGTAAACATGTCGAAAGCATCGATTCGTTTCTTATCTGCCTATTTCATCGTCAACGATTCTACAACGAACGTGAAATGCGAAATATGAGTGTCATGACAAGTATTAGTTTTGCGTTTTTGATCGAGTTTTCATTTCCATACTCTTTGGGTTTGGCGATGACAGTTTGCCCATGAAAATTCTTCTTCTGTTTTCTTCCTCACAATTACCGCTGTTAGTGTTTTTTTTCACCTATTAAATCTTTTACGATCACAATTCCTTAAAAACTAGCCAGTGCAGTAAATGTCTTTATTTTTATGTACTAATTGCCATCGTTTTCATCTTTGATCTGTTTATTTGCAAACCTGCGCCATTGCTTAGTTCGTTCACCTTTGAGATTAATTAGTCCTTTCTTTTTTTGTGTTACCTAGGAGGCATCATCCGCCTAGTGTAGGTTCATGGTACAACGAATACAAGGTATGATATTACGCATGGCATTTGACAGCTGGTCCAGGAGTGTGACGTAGTCAAGACCGCTCGAACCCATTAGCACAGCTTAACGTACACATTAATTTTAAAACTATGGTCAAAAAATGATCAAATTTTTGTTTAAATGTTTTGTTTTGGTTATAATTGAATAAAAAATATATTTTCAGTAGCGTAAAACCTTTACTTTTTCTGGGGATTCAGGCGATATATTTATTTTTGTTTTGATACAAATACTAATAATATAAGCGCTCTTTTTGTATGCAAATCCGTTGAAATTTAAAAATTTTGTGCAGAAGAAATACTGTGAATAGGTAAGAAGTAGCAGATTTGCGTATTCTGATTCATTGTCAGTCATGTCCAAGCAGTTTTACTGAAATATAAATAAAATAGATTACAATAAAGAAAAATCTGATTTATAATTCAGTATGGTATTTTAGATGAGTTGTAACGAAAATTAGTAAAATAAAATATATACACATTATTATAACCTATTGATTATTAAATGCAAAATTTACTTATCAAACCACATAATAATATGAAAATAAGGCACAAATGATTTCAAACGCAAAGCACAATAAATATAGACTTCAGACGACTTTACACCGACAAGACAGAAGGCTTGTATAAAAACAAAACTTCGACAATAATATCGGATATCAATGGTCACGATTGAAAATTGCAAGTTATGATATAATAAATTATTTTAAAATAACTCGATACTGACTGAGTCATCTATTTGATAATAGAAAAATAATTTAGATATATGCTTACATATATGTCTCTTTATACAAATATCCACGGCCTTAAAATTTAACCGGCTCCCGTATCCCAGACAAGCGCGTAAAAAATTACCAGTAAGGTACGCTTGTGTCTGAGACTTGTTTGTACCGGTGTATAGTTATTGTTTATTTATACTGTATAGTCTTTTTTTGTAAAACTAACAGTTTTTATTTGCCATTGTATATCTGGTTTTGTACCTTTTTCAAAATGCGCTGTGCAGTTGCTTGTTGCTGTAGTGACAATGAAGATACAATCTTTAGGTTTCATACATTTCCTAAAGATAGTGTGGCCAGAAAACTGTGGATACTATCTTGTTGTAGACAGGATAATTTTAATTGTAATACTGCAAGAATTTGTTCTAAACATTTTAAAACTGAAGATTACCAAAGAATTCTACAACAGGAAATTTTAAATTACGTTTATAAAAAGGGTCTAAAACTCAAAACTGAGCAGTATCTTGTGTTTATTTGCCCCAATCAAAATCGGCTACTCTTTCAACCAACCAAAAGAAACGCGTACCCAGAGCCGAATACAGAGATTTCAAAAAGTATGTTGATCAGCTTCTTATTACTTCTCAAGTCAACGACGTAAATCTAAATCTTAATTTTTATTAATTATTAGTCATGAGAAATAAAAAATATCAATGCATGAAACAATCAGTGTTTATGCCTAGAAAGGAAAAGCATACTTTTCTTTTCAATAGGTATAATGTTTTACATTATTCTAAAAATATATTATTTACCCATCTTTCTAAGAAAATAATAAATAAATCTCACATCAGATGCATCACAACCATCTGCATGCATGGTAGCTGACATCAATTCACTACTTATTTATGATTAAACATAATAACATAATTTTATCATGTCTTTATAATTACTATAATTAAATTAGCCAAATTACCTAAAAAAAACTTAAAATTAAAAGTCTTTACTATACAACTACATTCAAATGTTGCGGGAATAAGCGGTCTTGACCACGTAATGCGCGAAAGCGAACCGATTTTGGAATATTATGTATCATACCTTGTGTTCATTGTACCATAGTGTAGGTTTGATATTTTCCCCCACCAATTCATATTTCTCTATCGCAGTTATTCCTGACTGCGTATAATCCGTTGCTCGTATATATTAAACAAAATGGATAAAAAACTGCAGCCTTATGGTAGGTATTTCTTTATGCATCCAGGGTCATTCACTGAAGCTATCTTTTAATTTTTTGTTTTGGCTTGTGTAGATGTCTGTTAATTGCCAATAAGAGGAGGAGATGATGAGTTACTCTTATCTTTATTATTATGCTTCAAAGTCTGTTTTACTTTACTTGATCAAATGTTTTTTGATAGTCGATAAAACATATATTCTCGTACGCCTTTTATAGTTGTAAATCATGTTTGTTTTTGAGGTATTTCTGGATAAATTTAGGTTGGAGTCTATTGTGAATTATAATGTTGTAGTAACCCTTTTTTATGGATTGGTACGAAGATGAATATAACGCTGCTGGTTGATCAAGGTTATCATTTCCGTACCTTATTAAATAAGATGTTGAGGAGACATGTTATATGTGTATCGGCTACTATTTATATCAGCTACAATCCCGTCTATTCGTGTAGATATTTTAGGTCTTAGTTTTCGTGCGTAGAATTTCGGGTCTTGATGCTCTGCTATTGAAAATATGTGATATTCTGGCTGATTACTAAAAAGAGTCTGGCAGTATTTTTTTTATCTGTTGAAGATCTCCGCCTTCTCTGTTAGTATTTGTCCTTGTTTACCTTCAATCGAAGTATCTGTGGTTTGAAGTCTCCAGTTGTTTGTATTGGTCTCATCATTGCATTACTATACCTACCAAAAATGTTTGATTGTATAAATGAGTCTTTTGTGCAATACGCTATCGTACTTGCTGACGTCTATTATTATTGTCCTGTATATGGTCTAAAACCAAACTGTTTAGTTTGTGTATTTAGTATTGGTTTGTTTCTTCTTCTAGTCTCTGATTTATTACTCTTTGTCGCGATTAGGTTTATTAGTAAAGTTGTTGGTTAGATAAAGTTTGGGTATCATAATCATATGAGCTTATTTTCATCAGGATTAGGAGCTTCTGAACTGGGATTAATCGGGATGTTGTTTATAATTAGTGTGACCTATACTATTACCTTCTTTAGTAGGTTCGTCAGTGCTCTATTTGTTATTTCAATCGGTCCTGGTGATATATTTACAGAAGTTTTTCATATGAACTCTTAGACTTACTGTGAATATATGATAAATATCTATATGTCCGGGATCGGTTATTATTTCTTTGTGGCTCTATATCTTCGACAAAATATTTGCTTCATCTTCGTGGTAGTTTGGTATACAATCTCTATCTAAATGTATTTCTCTGTTTTAATTTGTTTCCCTTTTCACTTAGAATTTACTATTATATTCATAGACTTGGTTTATTCGGATGCGGCTGGTCGATGTACTCTTCCCATATATTGTTTCTATATTCCATAAGTCTTTGTTTTACTTCACAATTACACCTATTAGTTATTTGTTTATCTTCTTGATTTCTGGTTTTGTTTGATTTCCTTTTTATCCTACTTTTTTTTCTCAAGAGATTTAATACATCCTTAATCATATCTTTGAAATACAGCACCTCCCTCTTTAGTTCTTCTCTGGTGGCTACTTATAGTAGGTTTTCGATATTTTCACTAAATATTCTGAAGATGGTCAATTTGTATGTCTCTTATGGTGCACCTGGGTATTTTTTGTTTTCTGATCTCCTCTTCCTTCTTACATTGTTTAAATATTTGTTTCCTATATAGTCATACTAATAGAGTGGATCATATGTATTTATTTGTGACCTCAGTAGTTCATCCATAATATTAATATCAAGAAGTTTGTTTTTCTTAAGCGATGTGTTCATCTTTTACATCCAAAACTTCTGTGGGCTCTTTGGGATAATTAGTTCTCGCACGTTTTTAGAGTTTTATCAATATTAATTTGTAAATGATGTCAACTAGTAGCCTATTAATAGAATATTATTTTGAGTTTCATTTAAAACGTTCTTTTTGTTTTAGTGGGAATACCAAGTAGGACCTTGTGAAGGTATTTCAATTGGTGATGAATTGTGGGTCTCCAGGTATATCTTACAGCGAGTAGCCGAAGATTACGGTGTAATCGTAACTTTCGATCCCAAACCGATGGAAGGTGACTGGAATGGAGCTGGAGCTCACACGAACTTCTCAACCCAGACTATGAGAGAACCAAATGGCATTGGGTAAGTACTTTAACGTTTGTTTGGTTTTCTATATTCGATATTAACACAATGGTTCTTTTTACATCACGTGAAAATCGTCTTAGAGAATTAAAATTAGTTGGAGTGGTCTGCAAATGCAGTTCTATTCCAATAAAACTTAAATTCCTGTACAAAATATAACTGGGGAATAATAATAGAAGGATTAATACATTTGTATCTGTCATCTTTGAGTTTTTCTATATAAAAACTTGTTTAAATGATTCAGAAATTGTTTATTTACACATAACTTTATTACCTAATTAAACAGGTTTAAGTATATTATTGTTCATACTAATTATTTAATTAAATTTAACATTACATGATGTAAAGGTCATTTTTTGTTTTGTAAACAATTTGGAACTCCCGCAAACCAAGATTTTTTATATCATTATATTAAAAGTAATTCTTTATACACCGTAAAACGTTTTAAATAATTCCCGTATTATATATTACATAATTCTCAAAACATATTGCTATAAGATACACTATGTTACATTTTATGAGAAAGGCGTATTTGAATTTTAAAGTCTCTGCCATCTGGCGTTTTTCTGTTAACTCATTTTAGGTACAGTTGTATTTGCTGACTGATTTTCTTCTGACAACTTTTTCTTTTATATTTTATACTACGTTCTTGTAAACCTGTTTCTAGTCTGACTGTTTTGAGAACGACTGCCCGCGGCTCTTCTATTATGCGGCAAATTACTCCTGCTCGGTTTAGTCCAGATCGATCCACGCCAAGAAAGTTTATGTAATCCTAAATAAAACAAGTAGACTAACAACAGGCTGTACAATATAGCCGCAGAAAAGCTCACGAATTTATGACTACGCAGATAATTAATGAACCACCTTCCCTATGGAGAAAAAAGCAAATTTAAAAGAGTAAGATCTTATAACAGATTGAATGATGTGACTATGTTTTCAATATGGCGCCATACAGAACATGTAACAATATACTGACTTGCCCAAACTGCCCTAGTACCTACGACCTCGATGACTTATGGCAACAAGCAGGAAGCGTGTGTTGGGCCTAAAATTTTGAAATTCCGTCAACGAAAAGGTATCTAAGTCTTGGAAGAAGCAAAATCATAAATCAATGCTAATCAGTAGTGAACTAATAATATGTTGTAAATACCAATGTTTATAAGACATTCAAAATACAGATAGAAGAGAAGACAGAACAAAATATTCATCTAGTAGTCAATCTGTTATAAAAGCTTTATCTACTGAACTAAAAAATTCTGAAACTGTCACCGGCTAATGGATCCGAGAACGCACGTTGAAGATGGTTTAATAGTTTTTTTAGATTTCAGCCAAAAACTGTCAAGAAGGAACATGCAGATGGCTTTGAAAATAGTTTATACAAATGATAGAATTATTCCCAAAACAATGTTATCAATAATGCCACAGAAAAGTGCAAAATGGGAAAAATATTAACGTTTATTATTTCCAACGTCAACCTTCTTTAACGCCACTGATAAAAGCCTATACCTTTGTTCATAAAAATATCTTCGTAGATAAAAACTCCTTTTCTTTTATTCTGATATTTCTTTACTTTGTTGTTTTACCACACAACATATTTTAATACACTTATACTTATCTATAGTGTAGGTACTTAAATAATATTAAAATGCATTCTCAAATTATCATTGGTTACACAAATAATTCTAGATAAACAGTAAAACACTTGTGAACTAAAATCAATTCAAACAACAGCGTCTTGATAAGATAATTATCAGCTGTTTCGCAAACAAGGAAAGTTAAATGTCATATTTGTGTTGTCAATAAAATCACGTTTATTGTAGATGATTCGCACGATCTCCTTCAGCATTGTTTCACTGACTACTCGTACATCGTACTTTTGTGTTAATATGATTAATTTCACGGAACAAAGTTGAATGTTACATAGTCGGTAAGGTTTACGTTTACCTTTACCTTGAGACTATTAGCGACATTTTTTTATTATTATGCCGGAGATAGCGGCTTCCTTTTAGACCAGGAAAAGACGGTACTTTTTGGAAGCTGAACTGACTTTTATCGCACAATTTTAATTTATTTCTTTTAGTAATAATCGGGTAGTAATCTATTGATTTCTAACCTTAAAATAGTTAAAATTTCTGTAGTTTACATCCATGAATAGTATTTTACGTATCAAGCTAACCTGTAGCAGCGAGACTGAAATGAGTTGCACCAATGTAATTACTTAGGTATATTATTTTATGCATAATCTATCATTAATAATTAACCATTAAATATTATTATTTGTGTTAGTTTTCATTAGAATTTAGAAAGTTATTTTGATATTTCAATAAAAGATCATGACATTTGTTGGTAAAGAAAGTGACAATGACTTGACAGTAAGTTTAATTAGTGAGAAAATAGAGCACTATTAGTCACTTTTTGACATTTTAAAAAGTTAAAAACCCATAGAACAGTAACTGATTTTGAATAACCTACGTTGAGAAGTCTTTATTATAAATTAGCGTTAACTTCGTATTTACTTACAACTTGAAAAAATGAGTTAAAAATCGATAACCAAAAACGTTTTTGACTATTTTTAGATAACATATGAGCCAGTACTTTTCCAGTACTTGATGAGTTCTCCACGTACTCTTTGCCTACAGTGTTGAGTTTCCTTCGCCCTAATTTTTAGCTCTATAATGTCTCCATTAGTATTGTTAAAAAAAGTTGTATTACTTTAAAATAAAAAGGAAGTATAAAAAGTTTTTTAATAAAAACTTAAGTTCCTATAACCGAGTTTACTACATTATTCAAACTATTCTCTATTATCCAGCTCTTGTATATTAATGCTTATCAAAATGTAATATTTTGCGAACATTAAGTGGTTACAAAAAGCTTATATCGATATTTTCCTTTTTCACTACAATTTTTAGTGAGAGAAAGATTCTGTGGACTAAGATTACCTTATCTCGCTCCCATTTCTAGGTAAACTCTTTCTGTTTTAAGGCTCTCCTTGATTTTTATGCTTGTCTATAATACAAAATAATCTTATGTCTATTCTGACCTCATTAATAATTAACTATGCCGAGGATTCGATCATATCAAAAGGATTTTGATAGTTTAAGAAGATCATGTGGGACTTTGGATTCTGTTAATTTCTTGGTATGTATGAAAACTTATTTAAGGATTTCTCCCGGATATTTTACTTTTGTCGCTATTATTATATCGTATAATATTTCGCCTTAGCTTTAATATCTTGGTGTGTATTTATTAGAGATATTGCATTCTAGCTTGTCTCCCTTCTAAGGGATGGTACATTAACAACGAAAACCAAAATTAATGTATCATGTATAATGGAGCTATTAACAGTATGCAGTAACAACGCATGTTTTCAATTAGACAACGATTTTTATAAAAAAATATTTTGGGTTAGCCATGGGCTCTTTATTATCTCCATATATATATATATATATATATATATATATATATATATATATATATATATATATATATATATATATTATATATATATATATATATATATGTATGACGTGTTCTTTACTCACTTTTTTTTCTGGATATGTTCAGTAAGCATATGTCACAAATCAGAATATACCAACATTAATGAGTTGATTGGTCAGAGATACAAGCCACACATACTTTTACTCAAATAATAGCTGTTTGCCTACAAGTTCATGGCCAAATAACTGAACTGTCGAAGGTAGGTTCCTAATACGAAACATCAAAATAAATGTAAAATATAATTATCATTATATGTAATTGTGATTTATTCTATATAAAATAATTAATCCCTTCTTATGTATAGAACATATAACTATCATATTCCATTATTCTGGTGTTATTTCTGTATCCTTTGTTTTTAAATATACAGAGTGGCCCAAAAGTCTGGAAATGGCTAATTATCTCGTAAATTACTAGACATAATTATACAAACTTTGAGATACGCCTATTTTGGGATACGAATATTCCATATTTGGTATTTACAATGTTGGCAGATTTTCAGTTTCTCTTATATTACTAGTAACTTTGGTTTTTCAAATCCATCACTCTGTATATTCAGTCATTATTGGAATCTCCTATTAAATACGAGTTCAACCATATGTAACACTTATGATTTTATGTAGTCTAAAAGGTCTTAAATACATAAAACAGAAGTCTGGCAACGCCTAAATTGTTTCAATACATTTTTTAATACTAACTATTTTCAAATACATTAAAACGTAACAATTGATAGTTTAGAATATTTTTAACATAATAGTTACGTTATTAAGTGTTCAAAATGTGCTCCATTTGTGAGTTGACAGCACCCTAATCGATGGTAGAATGCGGCTACCACATTTCTCCATGATTGTCTAGAAATTATTCGAGATTCATCGATAATTCATTGCCTTAGCTATGCAAGACTTGCTGGTTAAGTTTTGTAAACTGAATTTTTCAAGTATCTCTAATAAAAATAATCTTTAGGATTGAGATCGGGTGAACGTGGAGGCCATTCAATTCTACCTTGTCTACTAATTTATCGTCCGGGAAATATCTCATCTAAATAACGCCGAACATTTGCAGTAATTATCCGACGTTAAATTTCTTTCGATAAAAAATGGCCCAATTAAATAAATACCTACTATAACTGACCATACATTTAATTTTTGTGGTCTTTGAATATGGTTTTCACGCATTCAGTGTAAATTTCACACGAGTTCAGCTATTCAATACGAGTTCAACCATATGTTCACTTGATTTTATGGAGTCTGAAAGATCTTAAATACATAAAACAGTGCAAAATATGTAGATATTAATCAATTTAAATATTTAAATGGAGAATGCTGTGATTTTGACATTTAAATTATGAACTAAAATTGACAGTAGTTGTGGTTCAAAAAGTTCTGCAATTTAAATTGCTTCTCTAAAATGCAGTTCTCTAAACTGTTCCCCTATTCATAAGACGACGGTACAAAAAACTGTAAGGCGATTTGAGGAATCTGGAGAAGTAAAAGATAGATACC